TGTAATCCTAGCTACTTGGGAGGCTAAGGCAGGAGAATTGCTTGAACCCAGGAGGCAGAGGTTGCAGTGAGCTGAGACTGCACCACTGCACTCCAGCCTGGGTGACACAGCAAGAGACTGCCTAAAAAAAAAAGGGGGGGAGGGAGGGGAAACAATCAGAACCTGAAGTGCAAGTGTCTGCTGTGTCACGAGTAATAAACCATTTGAATCAGTCTGGGCTCACTGCCCAAATTCATGTGAATGTGGCAAGGTATCCTAGCAGCTCCCTGCCACCAAGGGGCTGCTTTCCTGTGACTTCCTTCCAACAGAATATGCTGAAACTGAAGTGAGGATTTTTAAAACAGGTTTTTTAAAGCTCCACGAACAAATCAATGATTTCTTTACATGCTGAATATGAGTTGGCAAAAATATTTAGGACTCAAAGATTCTCTCAAATTCTTTATGCAATCACTATCCAGATTTAAGAGAAAGTTATTTCAGCACGAAAGTGCTTCAAAGTGCTTGGTTAGGAAAGTACCTCTAAAATGCAGCGAAGTATTATCTGATCACCACAGCCAGCCTTTAATGTAACAAGTCAGAGAAACACAGTTTATCAAGTCTACCTCTTCCCAGAATATCCCATTCACAATGCTGTGTTCTCCAAGGGTTAGCTGAGTGGTGTGTTTTTATTTTGCCAGGCAAATACAATGTAAGGTTTAAGAGGAATTATAATGATGGATCATGTATTCTAAGGAAGGTGGAAAGTAAGAGCAGAGATAGATAACAGGTATGTAAGATCAACAGAATAAAGGTTTTGATCAGATCAAGATTTGCTGAAGTGGGGTATTATGGAACGAGATGGTAGAAAATCTACATGACTGGGGATATGCTTAATGAAAATCTTCCACCTGGGTAGAGACATGGCTTCAAAAACTGTCATAAATGTTTCCAGAACATGTTTACAATAAGACAGTAGACATCTCATTTAAAGAGATAATTATATAACTTATAATAAGAAAAGGAGGCTGGGTGTAGAGGCTCATGCCTATAATCTCAGCACTTGAGAGGCCAAGGTGGGAGCACTGCTTAAGACCAGGAGTTTGAGACCAGCCTGGGCAATATAGCAAGACTGTTTCTCTACAAAAAAAAAAAAAAAAAAAATTAATTAGCTGGGTATGGTGGTGCATACCTGTAGTCCCAGCTCCTCAGGAGGCTGAGGCAGGAGGATCTATAGATCCCAGAAGGTGGAGGCTTCAGTGAGCCATGTTCATGCCACTGTAATCCAGCCTGGGCACCCGAGTGAGACTCTGCCTATAAAAAAAAAATAGAAAAAAATATAGGAGCAACTAATATTCTGAGAAAAGCATACTTTCCTGTAAAAAATATTCTATATGTGCCGGGTGCGGTGGCTCACGCCTGTAATCCCAGCACTTTGGGAGACCGAGGTGGGTGGATCACGAGGTCAAGAGATCGAAATCATCCTGGTCAACATGGTGAAACCCCGTCTCTACTAAAAATACAAAAAATTAGCTGGGCATGGTGGCGCTTGCCTGTAATCCCAGCTACTCAGGAGGCTGAGGCAGGGGAACTGCCTGAACCCAGGAGGTGGAGGTTGCAGTGAGCCGAGATCGCGCCATTGCACTCCAGCCTGGGTAACAAGAGCGAAACTTTGTCTCAAAAAAAAAAAAAAAAAAAAAATTCTATATGTGTGCTAATACTTGGAATGCTTATAATATTTATAATAGAGAACACAGAAGGCCTAATTCAAAATTCCCCCAGATAAGGTTAAATTGGGTGCTATCATTGTCCAATCTTAATGTCATTTAGAAACGCTCAGATCACCTTGCGCTCAGGGAAGCATTTACTAAACTACATCCCCAGAGCTTTACCAGAAACAAACATCTCTTTTTGTGACTGGGGATTGAGAATAAGTTTTATACACTTAATTGCTGAGAAAGAAAGGACCCTTACCAGCTGAGGGCTAGTAAACCCTTGGTACCAGTACTGGGCTATTATTGACTATAATCCTGAAAAGACATCTGGTTCTTGATGACAAGTTAAAATTACCCAACTCTGGAAATGCTACATCACTGAGAGTTTGATGGAATCTAGAAACTAACAACCATCAAATATATAAAACTAAACTAATGGATATAAAACTCAATGCTAAAAACCTCTCAGGAAACCGAATGTAACTGGGTTTCAGAATGGGAGCTGGGAAATGACGGCACAGAGCAGAGATGCGGGTACATGAATGAGACAGAGACCTTCCTACGTGTGCCCTTCACTCTCCCAACTTTGTCCTATAAGTACCATTGCCACAGCAGCCCCAGCTGGAGGCCAGTTACCAGGACAGCATGAGAGCCTGGAATTCAACAAGCAGAGACCACCAAAGTAGTCACTGACTCACCTCTCCCCTGCCCTGACAGAGAACAACAGAACCAAATGCTGGATTCTTACAAAGAAAACTAAAAATCCACTTTTTTAAAATATAAATTTTAATTTAAAAAATCAAATTTCTAGGCCGGGCGTGGTGGCTCATGCCTGTAATCCCAGCACTTTGGGAGGCTAAGGCGGGCGGATCACGAGGTCAAGAGATCACGACCACCCTGGCCAACATCGTGAAATGCCGTCTTTAATTAAAAAAAAAAAAAAAATCAAATTTCTACATAGAATGATCAAGAAGAAACAAGAGAAGACATAAAACCTATAAAGAATGGAAAACACAGCTATTTAGGTACAGGAGGAGTTTTTAAGAGAGGATATGGAAAAGATGATAGAAGCAATACAGTTTTTTAATTTCTATGAAAAAAACAGAGCAACTAGATAAACTCAAATTGCATGGACATTTCCAACAAAACAAGGTAGCAAGACATCTTCATAAAACCCCACAATCCATGGGTGAGGACAAACCATTAGCACCCATAAAGACCTGTGGTTGACATCTGTGTAGAGGAAAGCAACAGGACATCTGATGGGCCTGAGCAAATGAGACCCCAGTGTGTCCAACAAGTAAGCACTGGAAAGGAGAGTGGGCCGACTTAAGACAGCAGCTGACTGGGGAGGGTTATGCCCCTTCCAGCAGGCGGTCAGTGCACAGTAACTAGATTTGAAAGGTTTGTTTCACTTTAATCACACATAAACAAACAAACAAAAAACCAAACTGCAAATGCTCAAGTACTTAACAATAAATGCAGTTATACAGGCAACAAGTGAAAATCTACATAATAATAAGAATTGAAACGTGAAACTTTCAAAATCTGAGGATGTAAAGACAGGTGATATATTTGAATTTCTACTTTAAGTTGGAAAATGATAAAAATGTCTTATGTGCTTTTATAATTTCTTAGAGCAAATGGAAGAGTGAACCCTTTGAAAAAAAAATCTCATTGCCAATTAGGCATCTATGGTTGATGATTATCTGAATATAATCATAAATACTGACATATAATAGTTCCTTGGCATTTGTCATTTTAAGTTTCTATCATTTTACCTTCTATAGAAATTTCAAACTCCAAGATACGTAGCAATGTGCCATGTTCCCAGGGCCTAGACATGAACTGAGGCCAATGAGTAGACAGATGGAAGCTGTGTGGCCAATTAGTAGAATCACTCATGGCATAATACTCCATCTAAAAGTGACTCTCCTACTCTTAACCTTTCACACTTTATGGCTTTTGAATGAGATATTAAATCTTACAGTAGTAGTCACAAATTCATAGCAAATGTCTAAAGACACATCCCTCTCAACATCAAGGATCTCTTGAACCTGTACTCTGTCTGGACATTCCTTATACAAATATACTACTAGATATAAGGAATTATTTCTTAACTAAAGCTGGATGTCTGTTGTACCCTAGGTTTCCATTAACAAAATCCTAGAAAATGCCTATTATCTTTGGTTAAAGCTCCAAAGTCAAACATATTCAAGGCTGCAGAACATTTATTATGTATTTACAAAAGACCCATTGAAAAAAGATTTGATAAACTACTCAATTCCTTTAAAATAATTTAAATGTCAAACATAACAGATATACAACTTTGGTCTCAAACATTCCAGTGTACTTTACTGCACAATTAATTAGCTTCCTCGATTTGCTGAATGTTAAACTCAGATTTATTCATATTGACATAGGAGCTGTTTTAAACAGTTGTATCACAAAGGCAAATGCAGGTAAAATAGATATGCATTTAAAAAGTAAAATTAATTAGCATATATACTCATTGGTTTGCCTCAACACATTTATTTCTAGGCCAAATTTAATTATCTATTAGTGCAATTTACTATGCTGAGAGTCTATTTTTCTTAAAATTCAGGACTAAAGAAATTCATTGTAGCTTAGCTTACAATAGCATTTATAGAAGATTAAAGTTAGCTACTCGATCCTTTATAATGAAGGCTGCAAAAACCTTAAATTAGAATGATATAAACAATAAATGTTATAGTCTATTTTTACTACTTTATTCTAATTTGTTGAGTTTGCTAGATCTCCAGATCTTTTTTTTTTTTTGAGACGGAGTTTTACTCTTTTGCCCAGTCTGGAGAGCAGTGGCACAGTCTTGGCTCACTGCAACCTCCACCTCCCAGGTTCAAGCAACTATCATGCCTCAGCCTCCTGAATAGCTGGGATTACAAGCATGTGCCACCATGCCCAACTAATTTCGTATTGTCAGTAGAGACAGGGTTTCTCCATGTTGGTCAGGCTGGTCTCCAACTCCCGATCTAAGGTGATCCACCCTCCTCGGCCTCCCAAAGTGCTGGGATTACAGTCGTGAGCCACCATGCCTGGCCTGATCACCAAATCCTAATCACAAGCATCAGGGTCCTTATTTACTAGAGAATGTGAAACATTTTTATATCCATTCTTAGTAATGGTTTTTCAAATTCACCTATTAGATCATCACAGAACTTGTTTAAATTATATTTCAATTTTGGGAAATTGGGACTTACACTTCCAAAACCCATTTCACTGAACTTAAGGTAAAATGAATACTACTGCTAAACCTGAGATTCATCCTTCAAAAAACAATGTCAGATCATTAATTGAATCCTACAAGAATGTCTTATTCTTGGCTAGGGGCAGTGGCTCATGCCTGTAATCCTAGCACTTTGGGAGGCCAAGGTGGAAGGGTCACTTGGGGTCAGGAGTTTGAACCCAGCCTTGGCAAAGTAGTGAGACCTCAGCTCTAAAAATAATTTTAAAAATTAGCTGGGCATGGTGGCACATGCCTGTGGTTCTAGCTACTCATGAGGCTGAAGCAGGAGGATTGCTTAAACCTAGAAGGTTGAAGCTGCAATGAGGCATGATCATGCCACAGCACTCCAGTCCGGGTGACAGAGGGAGACCCTGTCTCAAACAAACAAACAAAAAACTAGAATGCCTTATTCTTTACCTAGTTATAAAAACAGAATTTTATTTCTATTAATTGCTTTTATATGCTTTGCTTATGTTTTCAAACATCCTTTGTTGAATCTGAAATTATTTCATATTGTCTGGTACTTCTACTTGATAAGGTATCCTTAAGATTCATTGTGAGAGATTAACAAGAAACTAAGATGGTAAATTGACAAGATTTTTTTAAAAAAAACAAAGCTCTGGCCAAGCGCGGCGGCTCATGCCTGTATTCCAGCACTCTGGGAGGCCAAAGCGGGCGGATCACAAGTCAGGAGTTTGAGACCAGCCTTGTCAATATGGTGAAACCCCATGCTACTAAAATTACAAAAAAATTAGCCGAGCATGGTGGTGCATGCCTGTAGTCCTACCTACTCAGGAGGCTGAGGCAGAAGAATTGCTTGAGCCTGCGAGGTGGAAGTTGCAGTGAGCCGCGATCACACCACTGCACTCCAGCCTGGGGGACAGAGAGTGACTCCATCTCAAAAAAAAAAACAATCAAAAAACAAAAAAACAAAGCTCCTACTCTTACCTATTCTCAAAAGAAAAGAGGAACTTAGAAATGAAATATTTTATTAGAGAGAGATTCTGGGCACAGTGGCTCATGCCCGTAATCCCAACACTTTGGGAGGCTGAGGCTGGAGGACTGCTTGAACCTAGGAATTTAAGACCAGCTCAGGCAATAGGGAGATCTCATCTCTACAAAAAATTTTTTTAAATTAGCTGGGCGTGGTGGCATGTGCCTGTGGTTCCAGTTACTTGGGAGGCTGAAACAGGAAGATCACTTGAGCCTAGGAGGTCAAGGCTGTAGTGAGCCATGATTGCGCCACTGAACTCCAGCCTAGGAAACAGAATGAGACCCTATCCCTTCCCCCACCCCACAAAAAAAGAGATAGAAAAGTGACTGTACTCAAGTATAGCCTGAGTATAGTACAAAACCACTTAACTATGTATTTTCACAAAACCATTCTGTTAACTCCTTAAAAGGCCATAGGTTTCCAAGAGATTTAAATAAGCTCACATACTATGTTTACTATGTAAGGAAAGTATAATGCTATACTTTAAAATGGTTTTCTATAAGAAACATTTTTAGTTATTTTACCCTTCATTAATAATAAATCTCAACATGAATATCTTATTTCCTGAGCTTTCTGGTTAACTAAAATTTTACTATAGCATATTGGTAATAGTATCTGGCAATTATATTTATTAGAACATGCTATCAAAACTGGTTTTTGGTAAGGAAGGATCTAGTACCCAGAATACATAAACAACTCTTAAAAGTCAACAATAAAGACAACCCAGTTTAAAAATGGGCAATGGATCTAAACACATTTCACCAAAGATAATATAAAAATGGCCAATAAGCACTTGAAAGATGCTCCATGTCATTAGGTAAATGAAAATGAAAACCATAATGAAACTCCATGTCACAACTGCTAGGTTGTCACAACTACTAGGATAACCACAATCAACCAGATGGGTCATTAGCGTAGTGCCAGAACATTAAGAAGAAACCATTAATGCAACAAAAACCACCTGCAGAGTAATTTGGTAAAAGTTGTTTTTAAGATTGCCTATGTTAAACTAAGCTTACCAATTTTCAAATCATCAGCCAGACTTTCTTTTGTAAGATTCAGCAGTTCTTTTCCATCAATGTTATTCTTCTTGAAAATACCAACAAGGTCTTTTAGACCTTGTGCACAAAGCCATGTTGAGACATCCTCCTCTGACCAATCTTCAGTAAATTGCTTCAGGTGACCTTCTGAGCTCCTTGCTTAAAATAAACAAACAGGTAACTGAGATAACAAACAAAAAATCACTTTCTTTTAAACATTCACACTTTGAATTAAAAGTAAATGAAATTTCCTTAAATCTGCGTTTTAAATCTGCGTACAACGGCTGGTGCCTATAACCCTAGTTACTTGAGAGGCTGATGTAGGAGGATCGCTTGAAGTCAGGAGCTCAAGACTAGCCCGAGTAACATAAGGAGACCTTGTCACCCCAAAAAAAAAAAAAAAAAAAAAAACACCTGTTTTACCACTTTAACTTCCTTCCTTTTGGAACATTTTCTTTTTCACATCAGGAAAACAATTTTGTATTATATAAAATTCATAGGAGCAAAGGTATTCTATTCACTCCATCATCAGCACCGCTATTTGGTTCATTAAGTGATAAAAATAAAACTCCTAAATTATGTGCCAGTGTTGCTTGATGCCAAAAATAAAACTAACACAATACAATGATAATTTCTATTTTGTCCTGAAGCTGTATTTACCTGAAAAATTAGTACGGAGTATAAACAAATAGCTTACAAACCATGGGAGGTGTGGGACACGTGAATGTGCACCAAAAGCATTTACCAACAGCTTTAACACATGCCAGCCACTTCAACACTGGCTTCTCTAAAATTATTATTTTAGAGATGGGATCTCACTCTCTTGCCTAGGCTAAGTACAGTGATGTGTTCTCAGCTCACAGCAGCCTCATGACTTCCTGGGCTCAGGTGATCCTTCCCACCTCAGTATTCCAAGTAGCTGGGGCCACAGGTGTACACCCCCATGTGTGGCTAATTTTGGTATTTTTTTGTAGAGATGGGGTTCTGCCATGTTGCCCAAGCTAATACCATGTTGCTCCTGGGCTCATACAATCCACCTGTCTCGGCCTTCCAAAGTGCTGGGATTATACGTGTCAGCCAACATCCCAGGCTAAATTATTTTTAAGTGACATTAAATTTGGATGTGTACTTTATATTGAGAAAAGCAATGTGAATAAACTGTCAAATGATTTACTTTTTTTTTTGAGACAGAGTTTCACTCTTGTGGAGTGGGCAGGAATGCAATGGCACAATCTTGGGTCATTGTAACCTCCACCTCCCAGGTTCAAGCAATTCTCCTGCCTCAGCCTCCTGAGTAGCTGGGATTACAATCATGTGCCACAATGTTCAGCTACTTTTTTGTATTTTTAGTAGAGACGGGTTTCATCATGTTGGCCAGACTGGTCTCAAACTCCTGACCTCAAGTGATCCGCCCACCTTGGCCTCCCAAAATGCAGGGATTACAGGCATGAGCCACGATGCCTGGCCCGATTTACTTACTTTCTGACTTAAATGGTGAGTGGGGTTGAAATGAGTTAAAAATGATGTCCTTACTAACCTTGGCAAAGTGTTTCCAGGTCAAATTGCCAGATGTTCACTGTTTTGTCCATTGAACCAGTAGCAAGTAAAAGGGTATGAGGTGCAAAAGCACAAGCTGTGACATACCTAGTTAATAAAAACAGTCATTATGTATCTTCTGACTAATTTTTAAATTACATTAATACAAAGTAAGGTTAAGTTCAGACCTGGTGTGCTGAGTCAATGTGTGAAGTATATTCTCAGTATTCTGAAAAACAACAAAAACAGCTTTACATTTACTCAGGTAAGAGTAAAGTTTCTGATAAAGACTCACATTTGACATAAATTGTTTGTCTATTAAGTGGACATGTTAATATTTATTAGTAACTAACATAAGTTGAAACTTTACTCAATGAATAGTAGAAATGGCATCTGTAACTAATAGCATTCTCAGGTATTTATTTCACTTTTTCTCAATTATTGGCATTATTGTCTGCTAGCCACCTCCTTAGAAATTTTTAGTACAGTAGACCCTTAGCATTTGCTCATCTGTTTCAACCTACTAATAGTAACCTAAACATCTATTACATGAAATAATTTGTATTTTTTGCTATGACATTTGATATGTACACATTGCAGGACCAATGGGTAGAAATCAGTCCCTTGGCCGAACCCGGTGGCTCACACCTGTAATCCCAGCACATCAGGAAGCCGAGGCGGGTGGACTGCATGAGCCCAGGAGTCTGAGATTAGCTTGGGCAAATGGTGAAACCCCATCTCTACAAAAAATACAAAATATTAGCTGGGTGTGGTGGCATGTGCCTGATATCCCAGCTACTTAGGAGGCTGAGGCAGGAGAATTGCTTGCGCCCTGGAGTTGGAGGTTGCAGTAAGCTGAGATCGCGCCACTGCACTCTTGCCTGGGCAACAGAGCAAGAGTCTGTCTCAAAAATAAAAAAAGAAAGAAAGAAATTAATCCCTTAGACTTTGAGTACACTAAGGTGGCCATCCAATATTATATGTGTATTTAAGTGGAGCTCACATACATATTTTACAGAGAAAATTTAGTGGGTTTTTTTGAGAATGTAAAATCTCATGAAAAGTTCATGAGAAATATTAAAGATCTACCTCACCTAGCTTGAGTATTCTTTCCCATTTCCTGCCAGAATACTCAGTGACTTGAACTTCTATGTGGAGGACTAGCTTATATCACGTGCTTAACTTGCTACCCTTTGATTACTTTTATCTCCATTTATTTGCTGGCATAGCCACAGCCTAAATTCAATCATAAGGACGCTCCACTCAACACTGATTTCTCTTGGACAATATTTTTTTTCAACTACTTTATTTATTTTTGATACAGGGTCTCACTCTTGCCCAGACTGGAGTACAGTGGTGCGATCTCAGCTCACTGCAACCTCCACCTCCAGTATTCAAGCCGTCCTCCCACCTCAGCCTCCCAAGTAGCTGGGACTACAGGGACACACCACCATGGTCGGCTAAGTTTTTGTATTTTTGGTAGAGACGGGGTTTCACCATATTGGCCAGGCTGGTCTTGAACTCCTGGACTCAAGCCATCTGCCTGCCTCAGCCTCTGAATGCAGGTGTGAGCCACTGCACTCAGCCACAACTTCATCTTTACCCACACATGATCAGTCAAAAACTCCCATTAACTTAGCTGGGTGCAGTAGCTCATGCCTGTAACCTCAACAATTTGGGAAGCCGAGGCTGGGGTATCATGAGGTCAGGAGTTCGAGACCAGCCTGGCCAACATGGTGAAACCCCATTTCTACTAAAAATACAAAAATTAGCTGGATGTGGTGGCACGTGACTGTAATCCCAGCTACTTGGGAGGCTGAGAACTGCCTGAATCCAGGAGGCAGAGGTTGCAGTGAGCCGAGATTGCACTACTGCACTCCAGCCTAGCAACAGAGCAAGACTGCGTCTCAACAAACAAACAAACAAACTCCGATTTTCCAAGTCCATGATAACCTATTCTTTCTTATGCTACTCTCTAAATACAGCCAGAAGTCTAAGAATGGTAGGTCACTTTCAACCATATTTGCCAAAAGCCCTAGGATAAACATTCATCCTTTCCTATTATGAAAGCCTGGTGTAAAAGTTTAATAATTGATTGTATGTGATGTTTTGAATACTGGGCTCTTTAAATATGTATTTTTTATAACATTTAAAATCTATCCATCTTAAAATCATTACTGAATATTTAAGGGCTTGTTGCAGAACCAGTATCTTACTTGCATAACTATTTCAGCATTTGTGAAAATGTATATGTTCTTAGTCATACTAAACAGAAAAAACAAATACTTTTTCTATGATGCCTAATTTGAAGTTCAGTAGTCTAATTAACATAACTTTCATAGATCACCACAAGATTTTTAAATACTTACAGTATCATATACTATAACCGACTTATCCACTGATCTTTAAAAGAAAAGAAATTACAGGTGAAAAGTTCTATAAAAACAAAGTATAACATTTATGTAATTAGTATTTTTAAATAATTTTAGTAACTTTTTTAGAAAAGACGGATATTCAAATACATTTAGAATGCAATCTTTTTGTTCATATGTATGAAAACGTTAATTCAAAAAACTACATGTGGCCGGGCATGGTGGCTCAGGCCTATAATCCTAGCACTTTGGGAGGCCGAGGTGGCGGATCACCTGAGATCAGCAGTTTTGGGACTAGCCTGGCCAACATGGAGAAACCTATCTCTACTAAAAATACAGAAAAAAAATTATCTGGGCATGGTGGCGTGTACCTGTAATCCCAGCTCCTTGGGAAGCTGAGGCGAGAGGAGATGGAGGTTGCAATGAGCCAAGATCACACCACTGCTCTCCAGCCTGGGTGACAGAGTAAGACTCCGTCTCAAACAAGACAAAACGAAACAAAAAAAAACTACATGCCATATATAAAATTTAGAAAATTATAAGCTTTATTAAAACAGTAGTATATACTACTTATACTATATGACCATGAACAGAACAAGCATCTCTGATATAACACAACTCTATAAACAAGTTAGTAACTGAATGGAAAAACCACAAGGAAAAGCTATTGTTTGCTACTTGGTTTTGCTTCAGATAGAACTTTTTTTTTTTTTTTTTTTGGAGACAGGGTCTCGCTCTGTTGCCAGGCTGGAGTGCAGTGGCGCGATCTCAGCTCACTGCAACTTCCACTTTCCGGGTTCAAGCAATTCTCCTGCCTCAGCCTCCTGAGTAGCTGGGACCACAGGTGTGTGCCACCACTCCCAGCTAATTTTTGTATTTTTTTTTTTTCCAGTAGAGATGGGGTTTCAACCATGGTCTCGATCTCCTGACCTCGTGATCCGCCCGCCTCGGCCTCCAAAAGTGCTGGGATTACAGACTTGAGCCACCGCACCTGGCCTATTCTTTACCACTGATATGGTGTGCCTTAATTGCTAATCAATGTATATATGTTTTGATTATGATCTATTTTTGAAAATTATAAACTTGATGTTGACTAAATGATTCCTTTTAATGGTATAAAAATTAAAAGCAGACATCTGGGGTTATTCTAGCAAAGAAAAAGAATATCACACACACACAAATACATTATGAAGTACAAAAAAATGGATATATATGCCTCTCTCTGGCATTTCCATTGGAAATAGGCTTTATGCCAGAACAATATACACTGCAAGGTGAGAAAACACATCAACAATACAAGCGGTACCAAATTCTGCAGAATATTAATATTTGTACTTATTATTAAGGGAGCTGGTCATAGTCTGACCACAGGATTCACACCTATTAGAAAGCTTAAAATTCCTTGTTCAGTAGACCCTCCAATGGCGATGATGGATATTGACTACAGAATCTTTGTCATAAGTTCAAAATAGAAATTATACTTTAAAAGTTCAAATATATAAAATAAAACACAAGAACTTGAGAAGCATATACTATTGGCCCTCCATATCCACAGGTTTCCCATCTGTGAATTCAACTACCTATGAATCAAAATATTCAAGAAAAATAAAAATATTCAAGAAAAAACTAAAAATAATACAAATAAAAATGCTGCAAAGCTATTTACATAGCATTTAAGTTGTATTAGGTATTATAAGTAATCTAGAGATGATTTAAAGTAAATGGATGACATGTGTAGGTTACATGCAAATATTATACCATTTTATGTAAGAGATTTGAGCATCTACAGGTTTTGGTATCCAAGGTAGGGGTCCTGGACCCAATCCCCTGCAGATACCAAGGGACACCTGAAATTCATTCTGGATGTCAAAAAGAATTATAGCTTTCAATGTTAAACTGCATCCAAAATACAGTGAGAAATAGTATTGATAGCTAACATTACATGAGTATGTATATGATGGACATAATTTACAGACACTTTAGTTCTAAGCTCTTCAAGGTATAAGTTATAATTGTGGGATATCTGAAATTTAGGTCAAATTCCACTATTTTGAGCATCCTTAAAACATACACACACAAAGACACACGTACAACTAAAGAGTGGTGTCAGCAAGATGGCAGGGCATAAATTCCCATGCTTGTCCCATCACAGGGACATCAATTTGAAAAAGTATCCACACACAAAAAAATACTTTGATAACAGTTAAGGAAACCAGGTCTCCAGCTGCAGCACCATGGCTGGGAGTCGGGAGCATGTTAAATACTACTTTTTAAGATATGATAAGACAAACGAAAACTGGTCAAATGAAACACACACACACACACACACACACACACACACACACATACATACATACATATATGTATTTTAATAATAAATGAACCGGTCACTGGGTGAACTGGCTTTTGGTTAATTGACCTAGAGCCCAGTTTTGCTTAAGCCTGACTTTTCTAAAGGGATAATTAGCCAAAATTTCATTTGGAGCTGGCCCAACCATGCTAAGCTTACAAAGAAAGTAGTTCCATCATCCGGTCCCCATTACACTGTCTCAAATAAAATCCTCATTGGTACCAAAAAAACAAAAACAAAACCCCAAAATTAAAAGGAAATCTCACTTTCCTAGACTACCACCAGAGGCAGTTCAAACCATCTCATCACTTGATAAGCAGGATTATCATTAGTGATCTCTGTGAGCACTGGATTGGGAAGACAGAAGTCAGAGCAACAAGCAAGTGTCTACATATGGGAACAGCAAGCAGTAAGGCTGAAAACACAGCCTAGAACAAAAAGACAAAGCACCCTGAGTGCCCACCCAAGGAATCCAGAGGACTTCATAGGCCACAGCTAGCCATGAGGGCAATGGAATAGGTTCACTTGCTGATGAAGTATAGAAAGGTATTTGAGAAGCAAAAGGCCAAACATCAATAAACCAGTAGTGGACCACTGAATCCATGACAAAAAAAAAAAGAAAGAAAGAAAATTATAAACACATGAAAAGACCTGAAGTTAACTGGAGAAAGAAAGGATTTTAAACTCACTTCCTATTGCCTCTAGTTTAACTAATGATGATTCCAAGGAAGACACAATAGCATTTGATAATTCATTAGATTTTGAGGAAGGTAAATTAGTGTTAGAGATAAATAATAGAAGTTTTCAATATTTTGAGATTTGAATTTGAGATACCAGGAGAAAAACAGCCAACTTAAACAGATATAAAATACGTTGAAACTACTGAAGCAAAAAAAACTTCAAAATATTCCCTAAATTGAAGCTGAATCAACATTAAACAAAAAATCCAACTGTTTGGTGTCCCTGGTTATATATTTTCTGCCTGCTATAGCTCTTCCCCCAAATTCTTAGTACATACATTCCACCACAATCTGCCCTGTCGCCTTTCCCCCAGAGTTTCCTCGCGAGGCAGGTATTCAGCCTTTTGATACTTCATTCCTACAATTTTGTGGTGCTCTAAAACCTCAGTTCTGCTCACTCAAGAATACAAGAAAAACCCATCAATGATATCTAAACAGCTATTGGACAACATCAACAACACAACACAGACTCCTGGAGATCCGTGACATCACAGTGACCCATCTCAGAAAGCACTCAAATCTTTCTATTCTAAACTAACTTTGTACAATGGCCAAAAAATTAATCAAATACAATCACTAGCAATTATTTCCTGAGGCCAAAAAGGTCCCTAACACTTAAAAATTTTACACTTCAGTATGTTAATTTTAAACGTATTTATGTTTCCTCTCATTTAGAAAGGAATTGCCATCTCTTACAAAGATGTAGCAAAAACAAAAGTTATGTGAAGAACCTGAAGGGGAAGAGAACACAAGGATGAGGTGAGAGGAGAGAAATTAAGGTGAAGATCAATATAGATTAATATCCGAAACACATGTTGTAAGGTCCAGTCCACCTTGCCAAAGAAGGGTTGCAAGTTTGATTCTGAGCTTTTTTGGTAACAATGCAAAAAGAAAGTATGATCAGTCATGCAATGCAAAATAGAAACACAAACAAAATGCTTGGGAATAAAAGGACATCAGGCCCTCAGACTGAGACCTGACAGGACTCCTTTCCCCAAGGTCTGCAGAGGAGGATGCTAAGAAACATCAACCGAGTCCTCAACAACTCTCCCTACATGAAGATAAGTTTCAAAGAGCTGTTCTGTAATACTGCTTATTATAAGCCAATGGCTAATAGCTCAAATCAGAAAAAGGGGGGGGTAAAATGATACGTTATACAATTGATGTTCTAGATTACATCAATTATATTATTTAATATACCATTTAAAAAATATATATTGAGCAATGATGTCCCAAACATAATAATGCGTTATCTGCATTTTCCTAATCTTCATAACGATTTGAGGAACGTGCTATTATATTCTCCATTTTATAATCAGAACATGAAGCTCGGAGAAGGCATGGAACTAGAATTTGTTCAAGGTTGTACAGCTAGTTAAGTGGCAAGGCTGGGGTTAAAACCCAGTTCTATGTAAATTCTAAAACCCATGTTTTTTAATATTATACTTAAACATCTTCCCCCATGAATGTATCAGAATGGATTCATCACAGGCACATACTCTGGTGATTTCAGCCTAAAAGTTGGAAAAGTGACAGCGTGGCTATTCAAATTTCACTAAAGCTCTCAGAACACATCTAATTTCAAGCAATATGGCATATGATAACCCTCCATGATAAACAAATTGCAATGTGTCCTTTTCAGTTACTAAATGAACTTACTTGTTCAACAGGACTTTTAGCAATATTGTAGAGAAAAAACATGACTTGCATTTTGGGAAAGATGACCTTAAGGCTTCTTCACCTAGTCATCGCTGAGCAAGAGAGGGTTGTTCATGAAAGCACTCCTGACTCATGACATTAAACTCTATCATCTACTTACAAAATTGATAAAATATAAACAACTGTCTTGTTGGGGAGAGGAGAAACTTATTTCCCACCCCTTCTGGGGTAGGATTCTTGGCCTCTTTCCTCCCTCTCATGCCCAGCAGAAAATAAATGACA